ATCATGACTTTTATGTAAACAAACATACACGCCACTTTCAAGTCAATCTATACACATTTTGAGCAATCCGCGTGAATGCGTTTATGTCTACGCCGTTAAATGTCTGAGTGATTCCGCGTGTATGTACAGTACACGCCGTTAAATGTCCGAGCGAAACGAAGCAAAATGTAGATCTAAATCTGGGGAGCGATATTTTTTTTTCCTTTGGTAGAGGGGAAGACCATAATACCATAAATGGTATAAACTCCAGTGACGGGTAGGTTTGGGACAGGGTTAGGGTAGGTCATATATTTATATATACAGTAATGTAACCTTAAGTCAACGGCGTTCATAAACATGCAGAAAAGCAATTATGTGTGTTGATAGCATGCCAAAAAAGGAAATACGAATTGGCGTGTCATACATACGCCATTTCATGAGATCCGTCTGTTATATAGCACTTTTCCAAACAAATGAATACAAAAGCAAATACAAAATACATGTAAAATCCAAGAAAAAATAAAAAAGGTATGAAGGATTTATTAAAATGATAAAATAACATTAAATTACAAACATTGTAAAATATTATAGGAAGGCCAGACTAATGAGATATGTTTTTAATTAAAAACTATTTATATTTTCAGCATGTCTTACTTCTAGAAGATTATTCCAGATACGAGGAGCATAGCGGCTAAAAGCAGCATCACCAAATCTTTTACTTCTACTGTGTGGTACTGTTAAAAGTAAAGAATCCGATTCTTTATCCAAATAGTCCTTACGGGTTCATAAACTCATAAACATTTTTAAAAGATAGTCTAGAGCAAGTCCATGCAGTGCCTTATAAACTAATAAAAGGTTTTTAAAATCAACATGGAAACTACCAGGTACCAATGTAATGATTTAAGTATAGCTGTGATATCTCTTCTTGGTCTTTGTCAATACACGAGCAGCAGAGTTTTGTATTAATTGTAGTTGATTAATTGTAGTCTTTGGTAGACCAGAGAGGAGGGCATTAGCATCGCTCAAGTCCAGCAGCACCAGAACTGAAGGCCAATTTCTATCTAAGTTTATTCTTATGTCATTGATTACTTTAATAAGAGCTGTCTCTGTGCTATGATGTTTTCTGAAACCCGACTGAAACATCTCTAATTTTGAATGTGTATTTAAGAAACTTAACTGATTAAAAACAATTTTATCTAATTTTTACTCAAAAATGCAAGGTTTGAGATGGATCTATAATTACTAGGAGTAAAAATGATAGGAATCCCCCCCTTTTTTTACAGGTTTCACTTGGGTCAATTTAAGATCACACGGAAAAATGCCAAACTGTAGAGAGTGATTCACTATCTCAAGAATATCATTAGATGCTACATTAAAGATATATTTCAAAGAGGTAGAAATTGGATCAAGAGAACAAGTGGATGGTTTTAGTTCTGTTACTACCTTTCTTAGGGTCTCAGGATCAACCAAAGTAAACCTTTCCATTTTGATAGTATTATATGCGCTAGGTAGAGGAGGGAGCATGTTGTTTTTATATTTGTTTGCCGAGCAGATTCCTGGTCTAATATTTATAACTTTATCTCTGAAGTAGCCAGCAAACTCTTGACTTGGTAACGCAGAACTGCAGTCAATTTTGTGAAAAAATATTCTTTTCGTAAGTTAAAATATTCTTTTCGTAAGTCATATAATGCATTGTGAAATTTTCTGCTACTTCAGACGTAATAATTTTTTTTAATACGTTCAGTTGTATAGGGCACAGAAGGATCAATACTAACAAAGAATTCACAAAATGATCAGATAATGCAAGATCAACAACAGAAGTTATATTGATGTTTAATCCATATGCTATGACTAAATCCAATGTGTGACCATGTTTGTGGGTCGGTATGTTTACATGCTGTTTACAACGACATATATTCTAGCAGTTCCAAGAATTAATTTGCTCCGATATCTGACAAATTATCAACATGTATATTAAAACTAGTCAACCATTTCTCTAAACACAAACTCAGAAAAAAGGCTACAGACAAATGACCAAAACATACAGGCATAAATAAATGAGGTCAGTAGACTCACCTAAAGGATTATTAGGAACACCATACTAATATTGTGTTTTCGCCTTCAGAACTGCCTTATTCTATGTGGCATTGAATCAACAAGGTGCTGAAAGCATTCTTTAGAAATGTTAGCCCATATTGATAGGATAGCATCTTGCAGTTGATGGAGATTTGTGGGATGCACATCCAGCACGAAGCTCCCATTCCACCACATCCCAAAGATGCTCTATTGGGTTGAGATCTGGTGACTGTGGGGGCCATTTTAGTACAGTGAACTCATTGTTATGTTCAAGAAACCAATTTGAAATGATTTAAGCTTTGTGACATGGTGCATTATCCTGCTGGAAGTAGCCATCAGAGTATGGACATGGTCAGAAACAATGCTCAGGTAGGCCGTAGCATTTAAACTAAGGGGCCTAAAGTGTGCCAAGAAAACATCCCCCACACCATTAAACCACCACCACCAGCCTCCACAGTGGTGACAAGGCATGATGGATCCATGTTCTCATTCTGTTTACTCCAAATTCTGACTCTACCATCTGAATGTCTCAACAGAAATCGCGACTCGTGAGACCAGGCAACATTTTTCTAGTCTTCAACTGTCCAATTTTGGTGAGCTCTTGCAAATTGTAGCCTCTTTTTCCTATTTGTAGTGGAGATGAGTGGTACCCAGTGGGATCTTCTGCTGTTGTAGCCCATCCGCCTCAAGGTTGTGCATGTTGTGGCTTCACAAATGCTTTGCTGCATACCTCGATTGTAACGAGTGGTTATTGCAGTCAAAGTTGCTCTTCTATCAGCTGTTTGAATGTTTGGATGTTTTCCCCTTTTCACACCATTCTTTGTAAACCCTAGAAATGGTTGTGTGTGAAAATCCCAGTAACTGAGCAGATTGTGAAATACTCAGACCGGCCGTCTGCGCCAACAACGATGCCACACTCAAAATTGCTTAAATCAACTTTCTTTCCCATTCTGACATTCAGGTTGGAGTTCAGGAGATTGTCTTGACCAGGACCACACCCCTAAATTCATTGAAGCAACTGCCATGTGATTGGATTAGATAATTGCATTCATGAGAAATTGAACAGGTGTTCCTAATAATTCTTTAGGTGCATGTATAATATACACATAAATGAAATTCATCCAATTTTGTTCTTTCCCAAGCTGCCTTCACCAACAATGCTATTTTTGTCTAAGCCAATGCCACACATCAGACAGAGTGGTGTGTGTGTGTATGGGGTGGTTAAGGGGTGGCGGGGGTTGGTTGGCGACTCATTAAACCTGTAAGATTGTGAAATGGGCCAGGTTTCCTTCTGTTTCCCTTTTCCTCTCTTTTTCTCACTGCCTTTCTCTTCCTCTGTGTATAAATGGCTTACTGAGGAAAGGAAACCCTCTGGGGTCATGGAGATTCTAGCCAGACAAATCACATCTTCTCCTGAGGACTCTTTCTCCACCTCAAACCAAAGCTTACCCTCAGCCTGCTCAAGTTCTGATCCTAAATGTGGCACTTTTCTGACAGGAAAACATACAAGGCCATTTTAAATGATAATTTCTCTACTGAAGCGTTGCAATAATCTAATGTAGTTAGACAGTTAGCTACCAAAACCAAACCAGGAGCTAAAGTAAAAAGTGCAAAAAAGTGCAAAAAAAGAAGCAGAAATGCAGTATATTAATCATTTTGCAAGTGTAACGACACTGTCACCGTCATATCTGCTTTTCTAAGAATGTTGCTATGGTAAGATTAACTTAAGTAACAAGCATCGCTAGGTACCTATAAGAGTAATGAGATCATATGCTGGAATCATGTGAGATCACATACAGTATTCATAAGTGTGACAGCTCTCTATTGAACTCCTGCTGAGACGTCTCACTGCCGATCCAGGTCCAGAACCTCCCACCTGAACTTCTCCTTAGCTATTATTTGACTAGATTTGACTGTTTTCAGATCAGCTGAAAAGAGCAACCGTCAAAACACCCCCAGTCAACAATATCACCCCTCATTGCATAAACATTTGCTCAGATGGTTGTATGAATAATGCACAAAATCTTTCTCTACTCTCCATCACTGATGTAGATAGGCACGGGCTTCTTGTACACACCACAATCTGTGCAAACATTTCATTAATATCATTAAGAAATCTTATAACCAACTAACAAGTATGATTATTATTTATATAAATTATGCTTTAATTATTATTATTTTTGTTAATAAATGATTTTAATATTTAATAACATAACATATTAACTAAATAAAATGTTAACTTTATTTTATAAACATTAATGTAATTATAATATTTAAATAATAATAAAAGTTAATCGTTATAAATTACCATAATACTTTAAAATAATTATAGTATTTATAATTAATAATTGTAATAAAGTTCATTAAAAAATATTATAATTTGTTTAAACAAATAACAGCCGTGATAGTATGTAATAATAATAATTATTAGATAATAAAGGAAAAAAAATATTAATTCTCCATGATGGAGGTCCAGTGCATACTAAATCACATCGGCCTGTGTCGTGCCACTGGTTGGCATTATATAACACCTCTTTGCAATATATTCACACCTATGGCTGCATTATAAGTGGCTGTTTAATGAGCCCCAGTTGTACAAGCAACTCTTCTCTGCTCTTTGTTCCACAGGTAAATCAACAACAGCCCCATCCAGCAAAGCCCTGCCGCAATTCACGTTCAACTTCAAATCTCTCAACTTTCAGAGTCACAGTCATTCTCCTGAGGTGAAGATGTTTAAGACAGAGGTTTCATTTTGCCCCGAAACATGCACAATTAGCCAGTGTTCAAAATCACGATTTGCTTAAAAGTATTACATAAGGTAAAAAAATCTATTTTATGGTCACTCATTATTGAGTGTCATGCGTATATGTAGTTGGGAACAACCATTAGTCGGTCAGATAGCCATAGCATTGCAGTTCGAAAGGCAAAGAGGTAGCGGAGCTTACTTTGTCAGACAGCTACTCTGCAGCTCTGTGTGTTGGAATGCAAAAGTGATGTCTTCATGAACGCATTAGAACATCTTCCTCTCTTAAAAACACACGCACACAGACAAACATGCACACTCCTTGTTCATTAACAAACATAGATTATGAGGCCACGACATGCCAGTATGACTGAACAAGTAGAACAAGAAGTAAACAAAGTGAAACCTACTGAAATGGCGACACTGTCTTTCTCTCTCCCTCCCTCTGTCTCCTCACACACCGCAGGTCTGAAAGTCTGCACCCGTCTTTCTCTGTTTCTCTTTAAAATGCTTTTTCTGTCCCTCAAAGCACACTCTTTCACTTCTCCCGTCTGTTCTCCTGAGCTTTCTTTGTCTGAGCTCGGTATTCCGCCAGCACTTAGAGAGATGGAGGGAGAGAGAGTGGAGGAGCAGGGAACTGCAGCCGCTCTGGAGAGGCAGTAGAAAGAGCGGGAGAGAGAGAGGAAGGGAGGGAGGGAGGGAGAGACACAGACAGACAGGGAGGAGGGGAGTGAGAGAGTTGGAGCGTAGGGAGGGAGCTGTGAGCAGAATGTGTGAGGTGGTAGAGAGAGAAGCGTGTGAGCCAGTCTCCAGAAGCGACGCGACACTGCAGCAGCAGCGAGTGTGGAGCATGCAGAGCCAGACTTACCCACCTCATCTGACCGACAGGCAGACAGCGCCACGGACCCTCGGCTTTGGACACGCAAAGGCTGCCAGGCTAAAAAAACAAAAAAGAAACAGGAATTGTATCGCAAAATAAACAAACCCAGTCTGCCCGAAGCCAGAGAACAAAGGGCAGGCTGGAAATGTATAACCTTAATCAGTCTCTCCCATATTAATTCAGCTGTAGACAGTCTGTTTCTAGTCACTCTCTGCTCTGCTCTCCCCACAGACTACAGAGTCTACAGAGCCATATGAAAGCGCTAGCGTGTGCAGTTGTGTGGGAGTCTGTATTTGATATAGAATATGAATTATGTGCCAGTGCCTCATTGAAAATTAAGCAAACACCATGGTATACAACGGCCACGTCTGCCTTAAATCCCTGCTGACAATGGCTTCATTTACAAAATATTTCAATAAAATCTCAACTGATTTAGTTAGGTTCTATTTTTAATCAAAAACCAGAATGAGCATAAAAAATTCCGGTGCTTTTTGAAATGTTGAACCCATTTGACACGATTTGAAAAGCATTTTAAGACAACCACCATTGTTAAGTTTTTTGCATAATCGGGAGATCCCCGAGTGCTGAAACACAAACAGACAGCTCTTGGTGCTGAAACAAGGGGGAACATTGGACAGCTCCCGGTGCTGACATAAAGCACATATTGGACAGCTCCTGGTGCTGAAATTCAGAACATATTGGACAGCTCTTGGTCCCTGAAAAAAAAAAAAAAATCAGTCCAGTCTTTTCTCTACCCATGCAAGTAAACCCCAGAAAAACAAGGCAGCCTAGTTGCCTCTCAACGGCGTGGCACATATAATGGCAGCTGTCTTGGAAATGCCTCCCTAATCACGTTAATAGGTTTAATCAGTGAATTAGCAGCAGGAAAATGTCAGAGTGGCCAACAGAAAATGGAGAAGCTAATTAATGGAAAGGGAGAGTGTCTAAAATGCCGGTGCTGGGGACAGGCGTGAAGGGTGCTGTTCCTCATGGGCATTGCTCTTGTGGGGCCGCCGTGAAACGCAACCCTGTGGCAATTACGCACACGAGAGCAGACTCCCATTAGACGAAATGCATATGTACTTGGCTGATATCCCAGAACCCATGTCTCTAGCATTCAGTATTCACAAGCAAGGCTAACCATTGTGACTATGAATGCATGACGCCGGCTTTCACTAAAGCGAGGGACATGTGACACGCGTCGTTCAATGTGCACGTGCCATAGTGGCTTTCTTAGAATGGCCTACGTCTTGTCAGCCTGGAAAAACAGAACGATCAATAGGCTCCGAACGCAGTCGTGAGCGTACACACAAACTCGCGCACACACGCGCACGTTCAAATCACACCAATAGCCGCAGTGCTCGGAGGAGCCTGTCTGGACCCACCGATCCAGCAGATCTCGACGTTCTGCGAGAGATGGTGTGGGATCAGGAATCAAATTCTTAATCCTAAACCCGAGAAAATGAAAAACACTGCTCTAGGACCAGCAGAAACAGGCTTTGTGGTGGGAAGTAAGGAGACAGGCGGAAAGAGGCAGGGGGAACGAGAGCAGCCACTGCCATGGAGAGCAAGGGATTTGGGGGTGTGTGTATGTGGGGGGGGGGAGGAAAGAGCGGTAATTAAAGGAGAAAGGCAGGGGAGGCTGGGAGGAGAGGAGACTGGAAGAGACATGTACACACACACACACACGCTAAGGGAAAGAGCTGAGGCAGCGAGGGAGAGGAGTGGAGGGGTGCAGACATGTCTTCCCTAGTGAAAGAGACAAATGCATTGTGATAGGATGGGAAGCCTCATAGGAGCTGATTTATTTCCACAGACGCTGTGTAGGGCTGTGACACACACACACAGATACACATGGGCCTACTCGCAGTGACACATGCATAAAAATACATAGATGAAGTATGGAAAGCAACACTCGTATAATGAACATAAATTAGCATAGGCATGTTAAAAAATGATGTATTTCAAAGATGTAGATCTTCTACGGACTCGTTTTCAGTCACGATTCTATCTCTTTCCTCTCGTCGTCTCCATCATTAATCTCTCTGTAGGTCTTTGCCTCGCTTTCTCTCTCCCTCTCTTTTTTCGCTGCCAAAATTTGCTGTTGCAGAAGCGACAGAACCCGACCTTCCGTTCAGGCTGCGCCAAACGAGGAGCGCTCATCAGCCATGCAAATGAGTGTGCATTCATTAGCGCTGACAGATGGCCTGCTGGAGAGATGATGATGGAGGAGAGAGGAGGGAGCGTTTCTCACACTCATTTGCTGCAGAGAGGTGGAGAGAAAGGGTAGAGTGTGTCAGAGGTGTGAGGGGTTGGCTGAGGCAGGGTGGTTCGGATCCATTCACCCAACTGCCATCATCAGCTTTGGGTTTGGATGCCATGTGACAGTGACAGGTGCTGGTCTTAGCATTCCATTGTATGTGTGCGTGTTTGGATATGTGTGTGAGTGTCTTCCTATGTCTGTTTCATCCACCATATTGCGTTTTTCTTATGATTATGGCTTGCGTTGGCTCGGTTCTACTGTGAATGCTATTGGAGAAAGCATATGAAGCTTTGTAAACAGGAAGTGAATGTTAGACGGAACAAACTGCCGTCTTCTTTGTGGAAGTATGTAAAGTTTTCTTTGAGTCTGTGTAGTTCTTTATTTGTGTGCACAGAATACATAAGAGCTGCACACCCACACACATATAGATTATTTATAAATATACTGTATATATTTATATACACACACATACAGTTATGTGCATATGTATAAATTTGTATGCACAGTGACTGAATCTATCTATCTATCTATCTATCTATCTATCTATCCATCCATCCATCCATCCATCCATCCATCCATCCATCCATCCATCCATCCATCCATCCGTGTTTCTGCAACCTATCTGTAGTCAAATGAACTTCCTCTATATGCAGCGAACGGTGATTCCACATGCACAAACACACACACCCCCACTCATTCCTGCACTATTGCCCTGTTTTTGAGCGATTGAACTCCACACATCAATCAGTCGTTTGGTGAAGATTCAGAACAAGGGAGTTTGAAAAGACACCACCTCTGTGTGTGAGAGAGAACGTGTTGTGTGTGTATATTTTGGTGTGCACATGCCTCTGCTACCTCCCTGATATTTTTGAAGGCTATGGCGGTGTGACCTACTTTAACTGCCTGGCTTGAATAATGTATCTCGCAGAGATGGGGAAACAGAGAGAGAGAGAGATAGAGAGAGATAGATATATAGATACATAGAGAGAGTGAAATGAGTGCGAGAAAGAGGGTGAAAAGGAGTGTGAAAAAGAGAGCAAAAAAGAGGAGGAGGAAAGCAGAGAAACCCACAGCACGGTTTGTCATTCACACATCTCTGTCGATATGCCTCAGTGTCAACAAACAGTCTCCACCAGCGTGGAGTAAAAAGCAAAGCTGGATAGAGCGAGAAAGAGAGAATGAGGCAGGAAGAGAAAGAAAGGGCGTTAGTGCAGGGTTCAGATATGAGAAGAAAGCCTGGGTCTTTAACAGTCTGCAGTGCAGCCGCTTAACAGGAGAGGAGGGGAGAGGGTGCAGACGGCTCGAAAGCATCCACACAAATGCTGCTTTAAACAGCACCTCCTTGTCACCTCTGCTAACGCGAGTCCCTCTTTAAGTTCCCTGCTGAAAAGACCAGCATAGAAAAGTATGAATTTCAAGGCTGGTTTAGCAGTAGGACAAGGCTTGCTGTTCACTTTGTTGGTCAAACATGTCCGTTCTTTCTGATGAAGATGATTGACTGAGGCACATTTTAATCCTAGCCATCTTGGAACCATATAAGTGATTTTTTTTTTATTAATTTTCTACAAAAAGGCAGCAACTTTGGCCTCCTTACAAATAGCATTGGAGGCTATTGATCTTAATAGAATCTGGTATTAGGATGTTGTTTTGATTTTTGATTTTGGACATCGGGCCTCATTGCATAGTGCGACGGTGCTAGGCTAGCGCAAATCAACGGTAACTGCTAGCCTCCCATTAAATTTTTTTTTACCGGAACTAGTTTCTCAGCAGCGGCTGAATTTTTCTTTGCTCCGGTTAGTAGTACTGCAACGTAAAGTAAACACCTGCACTACCTCTCTCTCGGTTGCCTAGGTAACTACATATCACTCCGTCGCTGCTGTAGATTGTGCTAATAAATACAGGGAACAAGTATAAATACTGCAATGCAATTAAAGTGTAGTTTGATTTCTTACATTATTCTCTCAACAGACATTTACATTGATAGTCTAGCATTATAATTTATTTGCTTCTGGTGTACTGTGGAGTGGGTAAAACTGTTTTTAATGGCAGGCTAGCAGTTACCGTTGACTCGCACTAGCCGACTACTGGCGAACTATGCAACTGGAACGACTGGATGACATTTTTTGAGAACTGTCTCCTCCACTGATAAATAACACTTTACAAATGAGGCCCGATTTCCAAAATTCTGAACCACCCCTTTAAATCTAAACTGTGTAACTCTCTCTAAAAAAACACTTAGTTCTTTCAAAAATATATGTGCTCATTAATGTATATTTACTTCATTCAAGTAATAAAGTATTCTTATGCGCGTATAATATGCCATTGAAAATACAAACAGGTAAGGGGTTCTAATGTCGGTCGCCATGTTGCGCCCCAAATATATCATGTTTGATACAGATAATACTAAAGCCCCTACTTGATCAAAACCTTCCTGAAATGTTGTACACCATCTTATGCCTTCTGTCTCTGATTGATAGTTTACTTTACTTTTTAG